ATGACATAAAATTGTTCATTATGTGTCTGTGCATTAGTATTTCTGGGAAGTGAGTCTCCTCTGAGAATCTTGGTCATTGGCATGCAATCCCTAATACTCTTCTTGAACTGGTAGTCAAAGGGGAGAAACAGATCAATCACTCATCACACAGCTACATGTCATTATGATGGGAGGATTGCTGTACACAGACTTGAGTTCAAGAGTAAAAAATTCTCTAACCTCCTCCACGTACACTAACTAAGCAGAGTATGCTCCCCTAGGCCATTTTAGTTCCCAAGGATGGAAAGCTGAGTTTGGGGACTTTTCCTAATGGCTGGTGTGCTTATTCTAAAGATAACCCTCCTCTATCACTTTGTTATTTTTGTCTCACTCTTTTCTCTATCTCTCTCTGTGGTGTGTGTGAGTGTGTGTGTGTGTGTGTGTGTGTGTGTGTGTGTGTGTGTGTGTGTAAAATAGAGGCACATTTGAGTGCAGTGCATATTTCATGTGGATGACAGCTAGAGGAGACCACTGGGTTTCTCTCTTTGTCAGTCTCTGTCTTATGAACTTGAAATAGGCTTTCTCATGTTCCCATGATATTAAAATTTGGTGAGACTGACTTAATAGCAAGCTCTTGGGATTCTCTTTGTGTGCTTGCACTTGTGTGAGAATGTATTGTCTATACTATACTCAACCCTCCATTAAGGACACAATGTTGTAATGAACAGGAGCAGCAAAGAATGGAAGAGAGACTCCAGAGCTTGTTGAAGCAGAGGGAGCTGGTCACACAGCAAAAACACTTGGCATTAAAGCTGAAGCATCATTTGACTGTCTCTCAGATGAGACCCAGGCTGAAGTTGGGGTATGGAGCCAGTTGGGTCCCCTGTACCAGGGCTCTCTGTCCTTCGTGGGCTTTTGCTTATCAGTAAGACTCCTTGCTCCAAGCAGGAGTAGACTCACACAGAACTCAGATTATTATGCTGGTCCAGTCAAGAAGAACTTCTGTCCAGCAAACAATATGTTTGATACTCCCTGGGTCTATACTCGTGTCCCATCTCTTTCTTCTGATCTCTCTGGTATGTTCTCAGCAGGCTTTCTTTGAACTCAAAGAGCTCTGCCTGCTTATGCCTTCAAAGTGATGGGATTTAAAGTTATGTCTCACCATATCTGAAATTACATGTTTATTCAGGAATAACACCTGTAGGGATGAGATTCACATCATTGTCACTATTTGATGTCACACTGGCTCACTTCATTGTCTGTGCATTCACCATGTAAAGTGTACTGGGGATATAATAAGTTTAGTCATTGGCAGGATGAACTCAGGCAGATGTCTCTGCTGAGAATTGTTCAGACCCTTCACAGAATGTTGTGGAACAGACTTCTCAGGGAGTACCAAGATACAGATTCCCAGCTGTAGGCCTAAGGATAACACAGCTGGTTTTGTTTATTCCCAGAGTTCATAAAGTTGCAATGTTCTCAGACACATGAATCAAGAACTGCTGCTCTATCATGACAGGCTCTATTTTGCAGGAGAGCTGATTTTTCCACATGACCTTATTCAGTTGTCTAGTTTGCAAAGTTGTATTAAGTCTCTATATAAAAATGAGGTGGTCAATGAAAAACTCATCATGAACATTCTGTGTATCTCCACTATGTTGTTTTGTATGACTTTAATATGCTATTCCTTTTGTTTAAATGATGTCCCTAGACTGTAGGAAAAAGGCCTG